GAGTTGGTTCTTTGACAAAACTTTAGCTAGACAGACAGAGCGAGAGTGTGAGCCCAAATAAAACCAGAAACGAAAAGGAAACACGGAAACTGATACCACAGAATATAAAAAGTCATTAGGAATTATTCTGAAAAACTATATGCTAGCAAATTATAAAATCTGGACAAAATCAACAAATTACCAGACACATGACCCACCAAAATTGAACCAAGAGGGTATAAAAAACTTGAATAGACCAATAGCAAGTAATAAAATGGAATCAGTAATAAAATCTAACAAAGAAAAGCCCAGGGCTGGATAGCTTCATTGCTAAATTTTTACCAATTTTTAAAGAACACTGATGCTTAAAGTATTCTATAGCACTGAAAGGCAGGGAACCTTTCCAAACTCATTTTATGAAGCCAGCATTATCCTGTTACCAACCCAGACACAGACAGAAACTCACACATGTGCCACCAAACTGTAGACTAACATTCCTTAAGAACATAGATATACAAATCTTCAACAAAACACTAGAAAATTGAATTTAATAGCACAGGAAAAAGATCACCATGATCAAGTTGGTTTCAACCCACAGATTCAAGGATGGTTCAACAGGTGCAAATCAAACAAAATACATCATATAAATAGAATGAGGGATAAAATCATGATCTCAGTAAATGTAGAAAAAGCATTTGATAAAATTCATTAATAAAAGCCTTGAACAAATGAGGTATGGAAGGATCATACTTCAACATAACAGGCTATATATGACAAACCCACAGCCAACATCATACTGAACGGGGAAAAGCTGGAAGCGTTTCCTCTAAGAGCAAGAACAAGATGAGGGTCCATTCTGACTGTTCTTAGTCAACATAGTATCGAAGGTTTAGCCAGAGCAATTAGGCACGAGAAAGAAGTAAAAAGTGCATACAAATAGCAAGGACAAAGTCAAATTATCCCTGTTTGCAGATGACATGATTCTATATAGAGAAAAACCTACAGACTCCACCAAAAGACTATTAGAACTGATAAATGAATTCAATAAAGCAGCGGTATACAAACATCAGGAGCTTTTCTCTATACCACTAACAGACTGGAGGAGAAAGAAACAAAAGCAACTCTATTCACAATAGCTACAAATACAACAATGTCTAGGAATAAACTGAGGAAATGGAAGCTCTCTACATTGAAAATTATAAAACAGTGATGAAAGAAATTGAAAGACATTAAGAGATGGAAAGACCTCCCATGTTCATGATTTGATGAATTAATATTATTAAAATGTCCACACTACCCAAAGCAATTCAGTGCAATCTCAAATCACCAATGATATTCTTCAAAGAACTAGTATGTCAGTCACTTTCCATTGCTGTGACAAAAAACTTGAGAAAATCAACTTAAAAGGGGGAAGGTTTATTTTGTCCCATGGCCTTAGAGGTTTGAGCTTATAGTAGGTTTTGGTTTGGGGCTTGTGGCAGAGAGTGTGTGGTGGAACAGAACTGCTCACCTCACAGTGGCTGTAAAGCCAAGAAACAAAGAGGAAGGAAGGGGCTAGGCCCCACATGCCCTTCAAGGGCACCCCCCAGTGGCCTGACTTCCTTCCATGAGGCCACTCCTTAAAGGACTTACCACTTTCCAATAGCAAATCATCTTGGTACTACACCTTCAACACATAAGCCTTTAGGGACATTTGAGATCCAAGTTGTAATGGCTAAAAAAAATCCTAAAATTGATATGGAAGCACAAAAGACCTCAAGTACCCAAAGCAATTGTGAGCAAGAAGAACAAAACCAGAGATATCACACTAACTGATTTCAAAATATACTACAGAGCTCCAGTAACCAAAACAGTATGGCATAAAACAGCCACAGAGACCAGTGGAACAGAACAGAGACCAAGAAATAAACCGATGCATCATGACCAACTGATTCTTCCCAAAGGCACATACACTGGAGAAAGGACAGCCTTTTCAACAGACCGTGCTGGGAAAACTAAATGCTCACATGCAGAAACTGGATCTCTTGAGATCTCTCACTCTGTACAAAAATCAACTCAAAATAGATCAAGGACCTGAGTGTAAGACTCGAAACTCTGAAGCTATTAAAAGAAAACAGCAGAAATACTTCAAGAGAAGTGGTACAGGCAGTGATTTTCTGAATAGGACCCCAAATGCACATGAAGTAAAAGCAGTAATACACAAATTGAGATTACATCAAACTAGAAAGCTTCTGCACAGCAAAGGAAACAGAGTGGAGAGAATCTACAGAGATGGGAGAAAGTACTTGTCAGCTATCCATCTGACAGAGGGCTAGGACCTAGAACATTTAAAAAACTAATCCAATTAAAAATGGACAAATGACCTGAATGGACACTTCTCAAAAGAAGAAATACAAATGTCCAATAAATATATGAATAATTGCTCAATATCAAGGAAATGCAAATAAAAACTACAGTACGATAATATCTCACCCAAGTTAGAATGAATATTACAAAAAAATGCTGGTGAAAATATGGAGAAAAAGGAACTCTTATAAACTATTCATAGGTAGGTAAGTTCAGCCACTATGGAGGTTTCTCAAAAAAACAAAAAGGCGAACTACTATATGATCCAGCTATCCCCTTCCTGGGTGCACATCCAAAGGAAAAGAAATTAGCATACAAAATATACCTGCCTGCCCATGTGCATTATAGCACTGTTCTCAACACCCACAGCATGGAATTAGCAAGTACATACCAAGAGATAAAGGAAATATGTTTACTGTAGTCACAGTGGAGTATTACTCAGCCATAAAGAGTGAAATCTGTTAGCTGTTGTAAAATGGATAGAACTGGATGACACTGTTAAGAGAAATAAGCCAGACACAGAACCACGGGAACTAGGAAGTGGGAAGGGTACCGGTGAAGAAGTGTGCTTGGATATGATTAATACACACTATAGGCATAGATGCAAACATCACACTGAATCTCACTAATACGTATAATATACATGAATAAAAATAAAATGCTTCATGGAATCAATGAAGAGCTCACTTAATAAACTTTAATCTCATGTTTGGAAGTCTCTCTAACTTCCTGTTTGTCTGCCCTCATCCCTTCCTTCCACTCTTCTTGTTCATATGCATCAACAGAGCCTGGAATGGTCTTTGCTTGATATTAATGGTAGTCATTTCAAGGGAGTATATATAATTAGAAAATGGTATTTTTCTGCATTATTGTTTATAATCAACACACATTACTTACCCCCAGAAATTCAGTCATCTTCTGTTTCTTTTCCTTCTTTCTGTGGTTCAGAGTCTTTATAACTGGGCATCCTCCCCACACCATTTGCCCCCAGTCCTGTCCTGACACCACGCACAACTCCAAGGGGCAGTGTGTAGGGCATCTGGTCGCAGGGAGACACAGCTGTGTGCCCTTTGTCCCAGTGACCCTGCATTCCTGTTGGGTGTGTTGTAAACAGGGGAGCCATCCTTCAGGCCTCCTGCTCTGAGCACACCCCGCAGTGATTTTTCTTAAAAGCAGAAAACAAAAGGTAGAAAATAAAACAAGAAAAAACCTGAAACAATGACATATAAGGGAATATAAGGAAGATTCCCTTACGTGAGACCCAATACTAAACATCTTCCTACTCGGGCCTCGGTTTTAGTTTGACTCTCCTAAGCCAGGGTTCACCTGCCTCCTTTAAAAGTGCTGGAAGCTGATAAAATGCAAGCCTGCCTCCATCTATATCTGGAGCCCGGGCTCAGCAGCTTCCAGCACTTTCCTCTTCTTCCCAACAGAACTGTCTTCTTCACCGCACTTGGTTTTTGCTTTGTTTGGGGGCAGGGGAGTGGGTGGGAAGAAGAAAGGGAAGACTTTTCTTTTCCTTCTGCTCTTCAAATGCTACAGTTCATCTCTGTGTGTGTGCATGTGTGGATGTACGTAGTTTTTCTGCCCTGAGGCCAACTAATCTTTCTACAACTGCTGAGCACTGTCATAAACATTTGTATTTCTCTGACATCCACGCAGCTGAAAGCCTTTCCTAAAAGGTGGGTCCCGGGAGCTGACAGCCTCGCCCAAGGTGGCTCCACAGCGCCTTTATCAGCTCTGCCTCCCCTCCCGTTGCACAGCGGAGCACCTGGTGTCCGCTCCGCTCTGTGGTGCCTGATAATCAGCCACAAGCCTCACTTTGTAACCTACCACTGCTGTCGGAGTGTATAAATATTAAATGCAAAGGAGCCACTGACATAACATTAGGTTTTGGCTGCAGCGCCGGCAGCTGAGATCTCTGGAGTTGAGAAGAGACTGCTAGTGAGATGCTGTTTATCTTCCCGGGTACCTGTTTGTCCTAGTTCTCCGGCTTCCAAGATCTCCCCCATCCAGCACTGCCGGATGGAGGATGGAGTGGAGACAGGGAGAGCCCCCTCCCATGAGCCTGCTCTTCTGACTTCTCTCCCCGGCTGAGTGTGCAGCAGCAGTGTGCCCTCACCCTCCCTGCTGAGGACGGACCTTTGAGGGCAGCCATGGATGGGGCAGAGGCAGCCATGGGAGCAGAGTGAGGACCTGGGAAGAGCAGGTGGCTGGGAGCCAAGCTGAGGCTGCCTCTGGCATGAGGGAAACCCTCGAGAGCTATAGCGGCCTGGCTTTTTACATGAACGAATGTTAGGGGGAGACATTCAGGCAAAGCCAAACGGTAACTAGGGCCCCCAGTGAGCAGGGCTAAGAAGCAAACTTCTGTGTACATGTTGCCTCTCTACCTTTGCTAAACAAAGTCTTTCTACCTTTCATTGGTGGTGGCACATGCCTGTAATCCCAGCACTCAGGAGGCCGAGGCGGGAGGATCGCCACGCCTGGACCACATGTGAGTTCAAAGCCAGCCTGAACTACACAGTGAGCCCCTGTCTCAACAAAACAAAACAAAACAAAACAAAACAAAACAAAACACTTCAATTATGAAACTCACTTAGGGATGGGATCTAGGTTTCACAGCAACATTTACGGGGAGAGAGGAGTGATGAGAAGCTCTGGAAGTGCAGACATACCTGCTTAGCCGCCGACGAAGAAATTGCTTTACTGTCCAGCAGGTCGAGAAGTCCAGCAAGTGCAGAGGGCGTGATGGGACTGGCAGCCACCGAAGGAAAAAGAGAAAGTAAGTTTGCATTTCACACGGGAAGAGGATCCATCAATGGTTATCAGAATCCAAACACTCACTCTTATACACTTAAATAATCAGGAGCACACCCAGGGATAAAAACAACAGGCCAAATGGGCTCTCTTTTATTTTACTTATTTTGTATTTTAGGATATAACAAATTCTTGTGACTGGTGGTATTTTTTTCCCCTCATTTTACCACACAACAATGACAGCTGTTTGGCAGAAGTTGTAGCAATAGACAACTGCTCAGTATAATTAGTGGGAAAAAGGAGGTGGCTGAAAAATTCATGAACCATGAAGAGAAAGGAAAAAAAAAATCCAGTAATTAAATATTTTCAACTGAAAGATCAGCCTAAAAATTACTTCAAACAAAACAGCTAACAAAGCCACTTTTGTGAGTATTTCTGTGCAAATATAAATTCCTTTTAATTGTAGTAGATTTTCCGTAAGGGAACACAATGTCTACCGGCTCCATGTCTGCCCGTCCTCACGGGCCCTCTACATTCTCTGTCCCCTGCAACTCACAACAGCTTTGGGAACACTCAAGGGCCCAAATTTCATTACAGCTACACTTCTACAGAGTGACTTATTTGCCAAGGTCCCGAGATGCAGAAGGTCAGGGGGAACTGAACAGAAAGTGGCATCAGTTCACAGTCACAGCAGGGTGAGGGTGTGCAACAAGATGACTGAAGACACAATGAATTACGGACTTCTTTACAAATACACGGTTTTGCTACAGCACTGCCGTATATTCAGCAACTCATGCATGCCATCTGAGGGCGTGAGGAGACTAGTTTAAAATAGCAATGACATAAAGAGCACATGAGTGCATCTATGTAAGTGCAGGCTTCAGAAATGCGCGATGCCACTGAAAACACCTCGGGCTAAATACTGGTTCCCACCATTCACTGTTAATTTATTTGGAAAGGAACTACAGCTTCGCCCTGATGTCTGTTTCCATGAACTCCAAACCAACAGGCTCATCCTTAAAGTATTTGTCCAAAGGATGGATAAGAGGTAATTCCAAGTGGAAATTAAGTTTGAAGAGCTTACTAAGTTGCTATTCAGAATGTCTGTGATCACCCTGATCAAATCCCAAAAGGAAGAGTGGCAGAGGGCTGAAAAATCAGCTAATATCCTTTTCCGACTTCCCATCTTTATTGACAAGTATAAGGAATCAGGTTTTTCTGAAAGTGTTGGTTGTGCAGATGTTCTGCCATCCTAGAAAATACAGTCACCACTTATCCTACTGTGAACACTGTGCAGAACGCGTAAGCACTGAGGTCAAACTAGATTTCCCAAGAGCATGTAAGAGACGAAGTCCCCAGCCCCATATGGGTCAACGATTGTCTCAGTCCGTCCCGGCTGCTATAACAGAGCCCCACAGGTGAGTGGCTTATGAACAACAGGACCTTCCTTCTCCCAGTGCTGCAGGCTGGGAAGGTGGAGACGAGGGGGCCAGCAGATGGCATCTAGCAATGGCCTACATTCTCAGGGACGGCGCCTGCTCGCTGTGTCTTCACAGGCATTAAGGGTGAGCTAGCTCTCCGGGGCTTCCTTCAAAAGGGCATTAATCCCTTCTAGGGGCATAAATCCCTTCACCTGCATGACTTAATCATTCCCCCTGCAGGTCCTACTGCCTAACAGCATCATCACCTTGGGGCTTAGACTTTCAACATAGAGATCTTGAGGAGACAGAAACAACCATTCAAGCCATGGCAATGATAAAAGACACCTATGTGGAGAGGGGCAGAAAAAGAACACAAAATAACTGAAAATATTTTCCCCATGCAAATCCATCTTCTGACGCCAGTTCATTAGTTATGTTATAAATTTATGCTATTGGTCTCTTGATTGACACAACAGCCCTCAGGAGTTCTCAATTACCTCTTTGTTCCCTGTTAGGGCTTCTATCTAGATGTCCCCCGCAAAGCCTCATGCACTCACAGGTGGGGCTTTTCAGAGCTGGCTGGATCCAAGTTGTGTGAATGTGCATTAAGAGGTATCATACTAAATGACTCCACTGATTGATTGGTTTAGCATATTTCTGGGTGTGGATAAAATGAGAAGCCCTACCCTGGGTGTGAGTGGCACCAATCAATAACCTGGATAGAATATAGAGGGACACAAAGAAGGTCACCACGCAGCTTGCTGCTCGCTACTTCCTGCCTACCCTGCTATGGACTGTTTCTCCTCTGCCATGCCACCCTGCCTTTGAGCCACCCAACTATGGACAGAACCCTTGCATAGCCTCCTGTATACTTTAAATCACTTCCAGGTTACTTGTACACAATATAGTATAAGTGCTATATAGTCATTATACTGTATTGTTTAAGGAACATTAATGAAGAAGAAAGTCTGAACATGTTCGGTGGAGATATAATTTTTTCCTTCAAATATTTTAATCTGCAGTTAGTTGAAGCCACAGATATGGAAGGCTGACTGTCCTAACTCCTGCTATGCCAGGGTTAAACTTGAGTAAGACGATGGCAAAGATCAGTACGTGTTATATCGACCCTTAAAGACCCCCTCATCAGTTAAATAAGCTATCAGATTTCAGGCATGATGACAACAGAAGCACAAACTACTAATTTGCTGTTGTCAGATAATACTGGATTCTGAACAGCAAATGAGTCTCCACTAAAGAAGAATGTGACATTGTAAGCTTAAGCTTCAAGTGCTTGTCTCTCTTCTGATTCTCCAAAGCCAGTGTATCTACAGAGGGGAAATGGTGTCTTTCAAATCTACCAATTTCATCCAATCCCTTAGAGCCTTTCAGGATCACAACTCCATCTACTGGAACAGAACCCTTGACAATTCTCAACCACTCCCACCCCGCAGAGAACAGCTGCCTACTCAATCCCACCCTCATCCTAGGTCAGGGGTGGCGAACCTATGGCACGTGAGCTACAATGGGCTGTTCATATCATTGAAAGCTGTTATTGTGTTTTTCTTTTAAGACAAAAGATGTTAATGTATGAGCTGTCTTTTCTAAATGAAAACCTCAGTATTCAGGTTTAACTGCAGAGTTAGCAGTTTGCGATAAATACGTGGGTTTTGGGTTATGGTTTGGGCACTTGTCTCTAAAAGGTTCACCGTCACGGTCCAGGTCCAAGTCCCCCTTCTCTGCTTCTGTTAAAAGAGAACCCAAGAAGCTCCTGGAGGAAGATGCGGGGACTTGAAGCTCAGGTGGCATGTGCTGCTCACTGATCCTTCGGTTTATCTCTTCATTTCCTAGTGCCCCACCTGGCATCCCGACTTCCAGCAACTGCTCCGAGATGGCCTCCTCTCACCCCTCCCTTTCCAGTTCCTGGTCCTGCATTTTCTAGGATGGTCTCCTGCTTCCAGCTGACACCCCTCCAAGCATGCTCTCGATTCTATCACTTTCTATTCCCAGAGGACTCTCAGACCCTTACTTTCCTTTAATCTCACTGTTGCCAAATGCTCAGATCTTGTCGATCTGACCTTGCAGCTACTTGATCTGCCTAGTTTCTTACCAGATTTTTGCCAATAAAAATCCAGCCTTAGTGGCTGCTAGCGCTACAAGCACATGTCATTGGGATTCTACCCTACCCCTCTACAGAAACTCTTCTCTTGAAAACTACCCCGCATTTGCAGCCAAGTATCCAACTTTCCCCGCTTTACTCAACTCCACATGCAGCCCTGGTGACCAGCCTGGGTCTCCTGGATAATCTCCCCTTGTCTATCGTCTTCCACTCCCTGCTCGGAGCTCTGGGTGCATGGCATTTCTTCAGTCTACAGAGGAAAGTGCATCTGTTCCTAGGCCCACTGCCGCTGCTCTGGATCTGCTCTCTACTTGTTTCATTTGCTCCTGTCCTGGGAGGTCCCGTGCTCACCCAATACATGCCCAGCACCAGGGGAGTAAGCTGGGAAGAGCCTGACAGTAAATACTTGAGCTCTGTGGGCCACACATGGTCTCCATCACAGTCTTTGATGCCTGAGTGACTGCTGCTGGGAACTGAAGGCCTTGGATATGCTAAATACACCCCAGCTGAGCCTTGGCCCAGCAAGCTGCCCTTTGGAGAAAAGGCAGGCCAACACTTCTCCCTTACAGGCCACACCAAACAGGCACTGGGCTTACTCGCCAGAGAATGCCAAGACTTGCTCTGAGCCAAAGCTGCCCTCCCCAGGGACCAGCTCCTCCGCCTTTTCACCCCACCCTTTCTGTCTCTCCTGATGACTGGACCACTCTTCTGGTTACCTGGGTACAGACCATCATGTGGGCTTTGCTTTATTCCTTGCATACTTCTGCAAATCCAGCCCATTATAGCCAAATCCTAATGATCCCTCAACACACAAGTCAGAGCCAGCCCTTCCTCTGCATTCCCAGTGCCACCTCCTCTGCCATGCTGTCACCACAGCCTCCGCGGTCTACAAAAGGCTCCCAGCGCCTGCAGCCCAAGTCTTGGACGCTTTCCCAGATCACACTGCTGGACTAATCTCCTTATCTCCGCCACTCCCTTCTCGGCTCTACAGGCTCCCTGGCTGGGTGGCATCATGTGACTGCTGCTGGCTCTGCAGCCATAGTCCTACTAAGCGCTGGTCACACGAGCCCTAGTGGCCAAGGCTGTTCATTAACCAACCACTTACCAGTCCAATCATTTAAATACAGGATGGCCAAAAATCGCATATTTTTTCATTAATTTTTATAAGATAACAGGAAATGTAAAAACGACAGTTTTATCAAATTTATTCATTGTAAGAATTGGGGTAAGCTGTCCCGTGGTTAGTGTGGCCCCACAGTTAGGGTGGTCTATCCAGTGCCCTGCGATGCTAACGCATGCTGAAATCCCTATCACCAGAAGTGGGGCGGGGTGAGGCGAGACCTGTGAGATGCCGTTAGGGCTCTGTACTCCTACATGGGTGGGTGGGTGGGTTACCTCGAGAGGCTCTGCTGAGGCCAGTGGGACCCCTCACCTGCTGTCTCACCGCTGTGATGCTCTGTGTGGCTTCAGGACTCTGCCTTGAGAAAGGCAGCACCTGAGGCAGCCCCTCAACCCTGGACCAGAAGCATGAGCTAAAACAATCCTCTTTAAAAAAAAATACATGTATCCAGCCAGAAAACGGGGCCCGGGGATTTAGCTCAGTGGTTCTGGCACCTGCCTTGCAAGCTCAAGTTCCCGAGTTCGATCCCTGGTACCAAAAAAAATAATACATTAATTAAATAGTTCTTTTCAAAAAAGACAGAAAACAGACTGCAACACGAGTCGGGGTGAAAGTCCTTCGAACTGTGTAAGAGCAGAACTGCCACGGCTTGGTTCAGGCTTCTCAGTTCTTACTCCACGTAAATTATTAAATCCCAGTGGCTGCATGGCTTCCTCTTTACCTACTCTGCAATGACCGCATGTATTTTTATCTAAAATTGGTACTGCCGGGGTCCTAGAAATGCTCTGGGCTAATGCCAGAGGCTACATGTTCACTCAACAGACCAGTCTGTCCCTGAGCTCCCTAGGCAGAAGCTGCGAACGGCTGTACAATGTGTCCTTAATGTCACGGACCGACATCACGGACGTCCTTAAGGCCGGGGTCAGGGGACCGGTTTCCAGTCTTAGCCGCTGTGTCACTGCGGCGGGGAAGGCGCCTCACCTCTGAGGGCCTCATTTCCTCGGCTACGAGAGAAAGAGCTGAACCAGAAGATGGCACGTTTTCTCCCAAGACTAAAAGTCAGCATCTCCATGAACTACAGCCAGCAAGGTGGAGAGTGAGCCCTCCAAGCTGAGGCATCCATCCTTCCTCTGGAAGCACAAGCCCTGACTTTCCGCAGCCCTCCTGGCTTCTTCAGGCCAGAGCGAACCTCGCTCCTCTCTGCTCCCACTGCGCTGTGACTAGTTCTCACGCAGGAAGCAGCCCTCCCTGCCCGACCTGACCTGACCTCCCACGCTCACGCACAAGTCCAGTCCTCCCCAGAAGGCAGAAGACAGACAGCGTTTCGGGTCGGGACTGGGCCCTGCTCGTCCCCACACGTCCACCACTCCCACCCTCTCCCCTCAGCCCCAGCGCACAGACTCCATCCCACACCCTGGCTTCCCCAAATGCTACCCAGCCTCTCAGGCTCTGGCACAGTAACTCTCCCGATGGCTCCCACCTTCCGAGTGGTTGCAGCACTTTCAGTGCGAACAGTGGAGTTTATGAACACAGAGGTCACACTCAGGAAGATGGGCGTGAGAGACATGGCAGAGCAGAGCAGAGCAGAGCAGAGGGACTCCGAGGCCCGCCATGTGCCAGGCTCAGTGCATCTTCCTCTCAAAACCCTCTGGAGGACGGGGGTGTTGCCTGGAAGGACGGTGCTTGCCCACCATGAGAGGCTTCCACGCCCACCACTGCAAAAAATTTCACAAACCAATCAGCCGAACACGAGGCCAGCAGTGGCATTTTCACTTCGCAGTGAGGGACCGAGGGCCAGAGTCAGGGGCATCGTCCACGGCCAGGCTGGCCGGGGGCCTGGTCAGAAGTGAGCGGACCTCTCGAGGTCACACCACTATGTGGACACACACGCCAAGGGCAAGAGGCCAAGCTGCTGCTCAGAGTGTGGCATAACTGCGCAGACACCGTTCGGGGATGCTTCGGGAACCGCCACCTGGCTGTCCGCACTAAGGCACCCTCTTGCTTGCGCCCCACACCCCATCCTGGTGCTCCTGCTTTCCTCGATGAAATGTGCCTTCCGGAGAGCCTCAGGCTGCTCCCCAGCCAGCCCCGCTGGCCACCACCTCCCTGACGGTCTCATCTGCCCATTACTATGCCGCTAAGTGGAAGTCCACTTGCGTGACATGCCCAGACTCGCCTCAGGATGCTCACATGTGCTGCTCTCCACTCCACACTCCATATTCCCCCATGTGAAAGTGCAGTGGAGCTGTGAGCTGAGGCTTTGCATAAAAGCCCTCCGGGTGGCCCCTGGTCATCTCTCCAGCTGTCCCCACTGTGCCTGCCTGCCTGCCTGAGCATGCTGCACCCCTGGCTCTTCTGAACCCACCATGGCTGCGTGTCCCTGGGATGCCATTACTGCTGTCTTTGCCCAGATGCCCCTGTCCTTCCCACCCGTCGGCATCTCCCTCTAGTTCCTCAGGGTGCAGCTCAAGCATCAGCCCGGGAAAGCTTTGGCTAATTTCTGTGGCCGAGCTCAGCCCCCTCCTCGCATGCCTAGCCTAACAAGATCACGCGGAAATGACTGTTTTCTTGCAAGCCTGCATCTGCTACCGTGTGTAAATCCCTCGTTTGATTCATCTTCAGGCCGCCAGCCCCCAGCACAGCATGGAGGACACAGTGCGCAGCCAGAGGTGTGAACAGACAGACAAATGTTTCGGGTGGGGGGAGGGCGGATATTTTTAGAATTTGGAATGCGCAGGGGTTTGTTGTCTTGTTAGAAGATGCTGATGGAGAGCAGGAAGAAGGGAAACCTCGCCCTGGCCTATTTCAGCTGCTTCTGGACACGAAGTTCATCAGAAAGGAAGAAAGAAGCCACTACCCTCACTCACCTCTCACTGACAGCGAGGCTGTGGTGCTTTAAATAGCCCAGGAGCACATTGAGGACCCAGCTCGTCACCTTTTTTGGCTCTGCCCTAGTTTCTTTCATCACATTTTGGAAGAACTGTAGCAGGCCAACTTCATTCTGTTAAAAAAAAAGTTACATAAAGCACCCAAAAAACAAAAGATCAGCATTCCAAAGGCAAATCTGCAACTGCCACCCTCTGCCTCCTATAAGACATCTACTCCTTTCCTCGGCTCTGAGATGCCACCAGGAAAATCTGATTGTTCTCGCCAAACAGCAAATATTCCACTCCTCCCATCCCACTCTGCATTTCTACAGCATCTTCTTTTCAAAGGAATGAAGGCCCTTACTGTGGGGACCAGAGGATGGTGAACGTCACATCCCGAGCTCTCCTGCCCTTCCTGTGTTGTCACGCGCCTGGCAGCCTGTGCCCTGTGGCTGCAGCCTTGGCCCACAAAGTCTGGCCTGAGTTTATGCCCCCTCTTTCCAGGCCTGGCCTCTGCCAGGGTCCTAGTGATTTCTACAAAAGAAAGTAAGGAATGGAGAAAATCAAGAAGGAATGAACAGAATATCCATCTCTGAGAAAATTAAAAGTGGGTCATAACTGTCCACGTGCATCTTGACACCACCCCAAGAGCTGTCTGGCCAGCCCCATCACCAGTGGAGGGGCCGCCGGCCTCCAGGCCTTCTGAGCCGAGCTCTGTGGGGCAGCCCTGCCTCCACCCCTGCACTGAGCAATGGTTGATCAGCGGGGTCGGTTCACCAAGGAGACCTGCTTCAGGGAGAGACTGCTGCTTGTCGCCCTCTGGACTGTCAGCCACAGAAGTTAGGACCACACAGTTCTGTTCCCTCCGTAAACAGCCAAGTCAGCACCTGGGAAGGAACAGCGGATGGAACCAGAGTGTCCCGTCACCTAGGGCTCGCTCTAAGTCACAAGTGAGCACCCACCTGGTTTGCCTTTGAAATACTGGAACTGCCATGATCATGTGTGGCAGTGACTGGTGACACGCTATCTGTGGCCAATGGCCAGCTCAGAGTGATTTGGCAGAAGTCAGAAATTTAGCAAGTCCTCCCCTACCAGCCACACACATCAGTTAAGACAAACAACACCATGTTCCACTCTCACGGGGAGGCTGAAATTTCCCAATGCGGCGGAGGGCATGCCTTTTAAGTAGCAGATTTCCCTCACCTGCTGAAATCCAAACCAAACCAGTTTCCTTTTTATACTCTAACTAGGGCTCCCACCTCTTCTCCTTTCATTAACTGAAAACCTTCTGGAAAGACATTGGGAGAAAGCAAGCCACACTAACACAGGCTAGCACCCAAAGTTTAGCTGCCATAGAAGCTATGATATATACACAGGCGCACAGCTGCTAAGGTAGAAATTCCATTATAAAAAAAAATCTACATGTCTTTGGTGACATAAATCTCTGGTGACAAGCCTACTGAATACTCCCATAATAATAATGTCGCTGTCCTTTCAAGCCAAGGTTGTTGTTCTGCTCAGGCTAAACCATGGCAAAGGCCGTCTCAGTGCCCCCAGTCTGACTAGAGATAACCAGGAACATGAACAGGAAGCGTCGCTCAACTCCCGGGACAGGACTCAGACTTCCACCATAGTAAGCAAATCACCGCAAATCACCGCAAATCACCGGGGAAGGGGAAACCACCACGGGGCCCCAGTCAGATAAGCAGAATTCCCTTTGTTCTAACCCAGGCGCTGGGCACTGGGGAAGTGACCTCTCAGAACTCTGCTCTGCCCAGGAGGCTCCCAAATCCACCTAGAGATATAACGCCGGAGCCTGCAGGCTTGGCTGAGTGGCTGGGACTATTCCTCTACTCTTGGGTGGCTTTGTTATTGGATGGATAATGTGGCAAGTCAGATTTCTGTTTGTCTTGTCATGTCAGTGCTGTGATGAACCCTCTCCGAGCTGGAACTGGACTTCATTCACTCAGGGATACGAGGTTTCAGTGCACGATTTAAAGCAGATGTGAAAATCTACTACGGGCAATGGGGCTGAAGGAGGCTGCGCGTGTGCAGCAGCTGCCTGGAGAACGATGGATCAATGAGAGCTTCGAGGGCTTCCCGCTCCGGTTCTTTGGAGCAGCCAGGGGGAAAGACACATGGGCAGTCTGCTTTTCCAGGCTTCTTGGTTCTTCGGAGACTGGCAAATGCTAATAAACCTGGTGCCAATCTAGGAAGCCTCTGGTGAATATGGCAGCGCGGCCATCTGGTTTGCTCAGAAAAGAGTGGACTGGTAATTCTCTTACACAAAGACAGTATTAAGAGCAATGCAGGAAGACCACTGCATCAGGGGACCTTCAGTAACTTCCCCCAAAGCTACCCGGGACAGAAGGGAAACCTCGGCTACACAGGGAGTCTGGGCTGATGCGACTCCCACTGCTAAAGCAGCAGGACAACAGGTCGGGTCTTGCTTAATACCACACAGTCTCACAGCTCGAAGACCTGAAAGCATCTTTTTCACATTTTGATCAAATTTCCCCAAGCACCCGATGACACTCAGAGCCGACCGGGAACCTCCCTCTGCTAATGGCTCTGCAGCCGCATAGGTGGGGCAGTGTGGATGCTTCACTTCGCCATCACTGCCTGCTCTGGGGAGAGCCTCGGTTTACCCTTTTGCGTACTACCTTCAGAGATGACAGAACGTGGGCAGACCATGCCCTGGAAGAGGACAAAGGCTGCTTTCTCGATTGTTCTGGGCCACATGCACAGTGAAATGAGGCTGGACCATATTTATAACCAGAATGAATCCTGAGAGACAGCTGCCCGGGGCAGACCAGGAGAAGAGAAGGTGGCCCAGAAAGCACAAGCCCGGGGACAAGACAGCTGCTTATGTGACAGGGCGTGTCCTGGCAGCTCCTCGGGACCTAGATTAGCACTCCTGGGCTGGTCAAGGGCTCTCCAGAGGATTTACTAAGTACAGCACCCCATGCACTGGGGACGTGGAGGCCCTAGGTCTCTCCTACACACGCACAGCTGTGATAAAGTTTAGCATATACGTCAGGCACACTGAGACACCAATAATGATACCTACTAAGAAAAATGAACAATTATAATACACCGCTAGGGAAATTTTTAAAACTTATGAATTATTTCTGGAAGTTTTCATCTGAATGTCTGGACTGTGGCTAAAGGTAGGGAACTGGAACCATGGGCAAGGGGACGACTGTACCTGCTGGGCATAGCGACAGCAGCCAGGCCTGTGAGCAGCTGCACATGACCGAGGCTGGTAAGAAGCAGCGGTTCTGACTGTAACAATTACAGGTGCCAGTACTATTCCACACACTTTCCGTATATTAACTCATTCAGCTCCAACAACAGCCCCATGAGCCAAGACCGCCTAGGACTCCTGCACATGAGAACACCGACGAGGCACTACCGTGCTTGAAGTCAGACAGCAAGAGTGCAGCAGAGCCGGGATTCGAACTGCTGCAGTCTGTGCTCTTAACTTCTGTGTGATCCCCCTTGAAGGAAGAACCTGTCCCTCCCATTCTGGGCCTGACACTGAGCCACCTATGAGTGCCAGACACAACGTGGGGCCAGGAGCTCATCAAAACAAAGCACTTTCCCACCACTTCCACGATTGTATCTGATACCTGCCAGCTGCTCAAGGTTCTGAACATATTAAAGACATTGCAGAGGTCCCCAGCGGTTAATTTAGAAATTGGAAGGAGGAAAACGGCAAGCTCGCTTGCTCCCTTTGCCAAGGCACACCTAGGCCATGTGGCCTGATACACACCTGTTCCCAGACTGGGGGGGAGAGGCACACCCACAGCCCATGCTGCACTGGGCTTCAAGGGCCGGGCAGGTGCCCGAGCTTCTCCTCTGCAACCCTCCCATACCAGCGAAGTCACTGGGAAGTCCTTGGGGCACCACCCTCAAGCATCTCTGCCATAAGGAGACAAATCCCACGGTATCTCGTTAGTTTGGATGTAAGTATACTGCGTTCTATTTCTTGCACTCATTCCTCTGATACAGGTAACTCAATGGTGGGTTTATAGCTAACTAGGCAGTCACGGTGTGGTGACAGGGGACGACCGTCCTGGAGGCCCTGCTTGTCCAGACTGAATGGCAGTGGTTTCAGCTGGGCGAGGCTCTCATGTTCACCGTGTGGCATTTTGCAGAGGCACCAACTAGAACTGTGCCCACCCCATGTGTGGCAGGGGCGGGGAGAGGAGCCGATGAGCGTTTGTGTAGACTTAATTACGGGCCCCACTGTCTGCATCCTGGGGGGACCCTGTTGCCCTCTCATTCCTGAGAATCTGGTCATTCTTACAAAGTGGGATAAAACTCAAATGAAGGACTGAAAATAACATGAAATGCTGGCGTTGGGGATAGAAATGAAGGAAAGGCAAGGACAGAAAGTAGAAACAACAGGAAGTAAAGGACTGGAATATTCGTGGGCAGGGGCTCCAGTCTGTGATATGAATCAGTCCTCCCCGGGCTGTGACACTCTTTCAGTGGGTGCTCCCCACGGAAAACAGAAAAAAAAAAAACAGAAAAACTGTGGGAAGTTTCTGCAGTGGGGAAAACAAGGGGAATTAACTGGTGGTATGAGGCTCGCCTGGGAAACAAGACGCTTATTTGAGCATATCGGGAAAAAGAAGAATTCTGGACCACTGCTGCCACTTCCGAGAATATAAGGACATAACAACCCTGAAAAGAACCCTCAAACACCAATGCTATGCTCTCAGGGTTAAGAAACACACACAGAAATCAGTGGTTCTATGTTGGTCCCCACAATTCCCACCCCTATGTCATTTTCCAGCAGCTTGGGAGCCTGTAGAATCAGGGCAGAGAGAGTTCTCAACGATCTCACTTGTGCCACGCTCCCAGCCTGGCCAGGAAGTACACGCAGCCGGAGTTCAACCCAGGCTGCCAGTTCAGTGCATGGAGCTTTTAGACCAACGTGAACATGGATTTATATTCTCAGAGATGCATTTGCTCTAGGAGAGAAGTTGAGAGAAACCAATTTGGGAATAAGAATTTCCCTTGGATAATCAAGACACAAATAATTAAGGTAATAGAAGCTGACAGCACAACCAAAAGACTGTATCTGCAAGAATTGGCCCATGCAGTATGTTGTCAAGAAATCATT